GGGGAGGAGAGGATGGATACAGGGCTGTGGGAGGCAGCCCGGGCCGGGGCAATGGGGGTCAGAGATGAGCCCCACTGTTGCGTGGCCAGAGCCAGGGCCTGGTGTCTGCTGCCATGCAGCCAAGGCTCAGTGTCCGAACCCGGAGCTGGGGACAGGAACTGCGTGGCCGGAGCCAGGGATCGGAGCCTGCTGCAGTGCAGCCGGAGCTGTGGGTCAGCGCCCAGGGCTATTGCCTGCTGCCGCATGGCCAGAGCTCGGAGCGGGGGGCTGGAGGCCAGGGGTGTGTGGTTGCATCCAGGAGTCAGCGCCTGCCATTGAGTGGCTGCAGCCAGCGCTCGCTGCTGTGGGGCCAGGGATCAGTGCCTGCTGACCCAGGGGTGTGTGGCTGGAGCCCGGGAACAGAGCTGTGGTTTGGCACCTGATGCCCTGCAGCTGGGGCAAGGGATCAGCACCAGGGGCTGGGGCTGCATGGCTGGAGCCCAGGGCCAGCGCCCGCCACCGCATGGCCGGAACTGGGGGCCAGAGGCAGACTGAAGCTCTGCCATCAGACCCGGGGGACAGCATCTGCTGCCCCATGGCCAGAGCTGGGGTTGGTGCCCAAAGCCCTGCGGTTGGAGCCTGCTGCCGGGCGGCTGGGGCTGGGGCTTGGCGCCTGTGGCCAGCCCCTGCCACTGTGCGGCTGGAGCCTGGGACTGGAGCCAGGAGCCAGCACCTGTTGCCACGAGCTGGAACCTGGGGCCGGAGGCTGAAACCCCGCAGCTGGTGTGTGTGGGGTCAGTACCCGCTGCCCTGCGGTCGGAGCCTGGGGCAGCACAACCAGGTTCCTGAAGTCTCGCTGCTGGAGCCTGCAGCCCAAACCCCCACCCCCAAGGTGGGTCAAGAACTCGCCTTGCTCCTGCAGCGTTGTGCCCCACTTCTCTCCAGAGGCCGTGCAGGGAGGTGCATCCAGGAGCAACAAGGAGGGAGAGGGAGGGGCCGATGCTTTGTCCCCCATCCCGGAACCTGTCCTGGCTGCACAAAAAGCCCCTGGTGGATGCATGCGGCCACAATGTCCGCATTTGAGAAACGTTGTCCTAGCCTCTGTTTGCCAGAAGCTGGGAATGAACGACAGCGGATGGATCACTTGATCATGACCTGCTCTGTTCATTCCCTCTGGGGCACCTGGCATTGGCCACTGTGGGAAGACAGGAGACTGGGCTAGATGGACCTGAGGTCTGACCCAGTATGGCCGTTCTTATGTACCTGCCCCCCGCCTCTCCCATCACCTGGCTCTTGCAAGCTGCAGCCCTGGTCACTGGAGCTGCTATCAATGTTCTGAAAATTGCTGTTTTTCACCAACCAGGCTCCTTTACACCGTTAACCCGCCTGTATGTACACCGGGGGGAAACAGGACCAATCAAACCTCATATACGTTAGGGGATGCTCTAAAAGTGACCGAAACTAGCTGTTCTATACCAGGGCTGTCTCTGTTCTCCCTCTGGCCCAGAGCTCTCCCAAGCCCCAGCTGACGGGGGGAGAGGGCAACGGGTCTCCCAATGTGCAGCTATGTACCTGCTGAATGAGTGTTTGAAAGCGTTGGGCCGACAGAGGTGGCTGTGGAAATGCTCAGTGTCATTGGCACCACACGGGATGCTGCTGCGGGAAGTAAGGGAAATGGAACTGACAGCTGGCAAGAAGGGGCTGCTCTCCAGATAGTTACAGGAAGGTGAGCTTGCAGGAGAAGGATGTGAACAGCTAACTCGTGTTAAATGACCGAGATCGCACTTTAGCCCAGTGAGTCACCAGCCTGGAGATTCAACACGGATGCAAAATTATATGACATTAACCCCCACCCCCAGGCCCAGAGATATAAAAGCCGGAGATTGACAGCCCCAGAAATGTGCAGAGGGGTGGGAAGGTGTCTGTATTTAGTCCTTGCTGGAAATGCCCCCCCCCCCCACCCAGTGACCCCAATGCTCCTACCTCATTGCGATCAGCTGAGTCCCCAGCCCAGCCAGGGAGGTGACGGCTCCTTTCACTGCACTGGGTTTCTTCCCGAGCTGGAGAAGTGCCCGGTTCTGGGAGAGACCCGAGTTCTGTCTGGGGCCAGAACTGACTGTGTCTGCTAAGATGATGCTCACTCTTATATGCAGGCTGGGCTGCTAGCTGGTGATCTCACTTGTCTGTCAGATGAATTTCAACAGAAAGAGAGAGTGAGCTGGGGAAAAGGAAACTGAAACTTAACTTTCAGTTCCACTTGTCATCTTCAGTTTCCACTCTGCCCGAATTGCCATCTGCAGCTCCATGGGTGACATGGGACTAGTTACAGTGTGTGTGTGTGTGTGTGTGTGTGTGTTTGTGTCTTTGCACGCACACGTACAATCCTGCCCTGGGTTTCCCCGCACACAGACGGGGTCACTCACCATTACCACACTGCAGTGCGCTCCCTGCTACGCACCCAATCAGCTCCACAGCCCCGTGCAGTGACCAGGTTGGCTGTGTCCTGGCCTCCGGCCAGCCCTTCCCCGCCACCTTGGGGTGTTCGTGTCGCCCTGGTGGGAACAGCCTGCGCTGCCCTGAGCACAGGGGCTGCGGTTGTGTGCAGAGGATGCGGCCCATAGCACAGAGGAGCTCTCCCTCATTCACTTCAAGGTACCTGCACAGGGCAGTGGGCAGCCCGGCCTCGTGCTACACACGGGGACTGTGTGGCACAGTTGGCAGCCTGTCCCCGCCCCCGGCACGGGGCACTTAGCAGTGAGGAGCAGAGGGAAATGACTGAGGCAGGGCGATTAGCAAAATGTGAGCACTTTGTACCTGCTCCTCCAGGTCTCCTCCTCCTCCCCGAACCCTCCCCAGCTTTATCCGTGCAGGAGGCGATTTTCAAAAGTGCCCCCCCGATTTAGATGCCCAGGCCCCATTGGCTGCCAGCGTGATCCATGCTCCTCAATCACTTCAGTGCTTTTGAAAATGTCTCCCCCACATAAAAATCAAACCCTCTGAAGTGAGGAAATAATAGTCGGGTTCCCTGTGCAGCCTCATCTCTGCCCTTTGCACTGCCACCTGGTGGTACACTCTTTAATTACACGATTGCGTTCTATCTCGGTGGGGCCCTGCCTGGTTCACTGCGCTGTGGGGACATTGTAGGATAAATATAAAATTAAAGTTACCTTAAGTTTGGTTAAAGAAATGTGTGTGTTGTAAAGAAAGGCCTTGACTAGCAAGTAGAAGGACCATGAAAATAATGAGTTATAGGGCAAGTAGGAATGAAGTAGGGAGAATGTCTGGTTCAAAGGATAACTTATGTGATAAGACAGTGTTCTCAAGCAGGGGTATGCGGACCCCTGGGGGTACTCAGAGGTCTTCCAGGGGTTACATCTACTAATCTAGACATTGGCCTAGTTTTATAGCAGGCTACATAAAAAGCACTAGCGAAGTCAGTACCAACTAAAATGTCATACAGACAATGACTTGTTTATACTGCTCTATCTACTATACACTGAAATGTAAGTGCAATATTTATATTCCAATTGATTTATTTGATAATTCTATGGTAAAAACGAGAAAGTCAGCAATTTGCCAGGAATAGTCTGTTGAGACACTTTAGTATTTTTATGCCTGATTTTGTAAGCAAGTAGTTTTTAAGTGAAGTGAAACTTGGGGTATGCAAGACAAATCAGTCTCCTGAAAGGGGCCCAGTCGTCTGGAAAGGTTGAGAGCCACTGAGATAAGGGGATGTTTCTAAAAATAAGGCCTCTGACTGATAGGGGGTGGCTGTAAACGGTTTTAAATAAGACAAAAAGAAACTGTCTTAAAAAGAGGCAACACAAACTTTCCCACCACACATACTAGTGTTATCTTAACAATTAGGGCACTGTGAGCCCAGGACGAATGGAAAATCTGTTGATCGGCAAGAAAGAGGGGTGGAAAGACCTTGGGAGAAAAGGAGTTTATAAAATGTATCTGGATTAAGACTGGAAATAAGGGTGAATTGTCTCAGATTGGTTTGAAGCCGAAGTCAGTAATTAGCAATGACAATTGTTTGTTAGTGGTATAAAACCAGTTATGAATTGGAAGGTTCTTTGTGAGACTCTAGCTGATCACGCTGGGGCATACCAGAATGAGAAAGTCATCCCCAGGTCTGGCCTATTTGTAAGTATACTGATCACATGCTTATGAATACTTAGTTACTGTATTGGGTGTAGTGACTGCTTAAGTTTCAGGCTGTCAGGCGTATTTAGAGCAATTGTATAAAATACCATTTGGCCTTTGGACTAAATAAAGGGGTATATGGTTAAATTAGTGTCTGGTGGTCTCCTGTTTTAATACTTTCTACTATTATTAATAATTCCAACTCCCCCCCCCGCCCAAGTTCCATTACCTATCAATGAGGCCCTGCTGGACCTTGCCAAAACCACCTATCAATGAGGCCCTGCTGGACCTTGCCAAAACCATCTGGCAGACCCCGGTAACAATACCACCCACATGCAAAAGAGCCAATAAAAACACTACATCCCAGCTAAGGAGTCTGAATTTTTGTTTACTCATCCTGCACCCAACGCTCTGGTTGTGGAAGTGGTGAATGCATGGGGCAGACACCACCACAGGAAGGCACCTCCATAAGATAAGGGCTTGAAGTGTCTGGATGTATTCAGCCGTTAGACTTCCCCATCTGTGACACTTCAGGACATGTTAGGACTTCAAACTATCAGGCTCTCATGGCAAAGTACAGCCCCACCCAAATTAAGCCAAATGTACCACCTTTATTGAGCATCTGCCAACAGAACAGTGTGAACAATTTCAGACCATTATTAATGAGGGCCAGCTGCTAGCTAAAACGTTCCTGCAGGCCTCTTTGGATAGCTCACATTGTGGCTTATACCACCTTTACAGAAGTAGTCATGTGTAGATCTCCATGGCTCCAGTTGTCTGAGTTTCCAAGGGAGGTCCGAAACATGTTTGAGGACCTCCCCTTCGATGGTCTCAAACTGTTTGCTGCATCCATGGATGAATCTTTGCAAACCTTAAAGAATTCCAAACAAGTAAAAGTTCAGCAGATCTCAAACAGCACAGAGGTCTCCCCGCCTCTAGTTTCAGGTTTCCAGAGACCCTTTGAACCACCAGAAAGAAATCAAGGCTCAGAGGAAGAGAGCATCCACTTCTTCTACTTCTGCTACTCAGCCTTGGACGTCTTCTGTATGACAGTTTTTTGACAGGCTTGACAACTTGTAACTACCCCACATCATAACAGAGCTGCATCTACACCATCCTACTCTCCTTCATCCCTGCAGAGACTTCCACTCCCATTTTCAATACCCATGGAGCAGATTACATCAGATAAATGGGTGTTGGAAGTTATAAGATCAGGGTACTCCACCCATTTTACATCCCTCCACCTCCTTTCCCATCAATCTTCAGGGACCACAAACATCTGCTGAAACAAGAGATCAACTCCCTTCTGTGTACGGGGTCATATGATCAGTTCCAGACCAACTCAGAGGGAATGGGTTTTACTCCAATGATTTCCTGCCCTAAAAAAGAATGGGGGGGGGGGAGGAAACCAATTTCAGATATAAGACTTGTAAGCTACTTTGTGAAATCACAAAAAAGAAAAATCAGGATGATGATTCTCACAGCCACAATTCTAGCATTGGAACCAGGGGATTGGTTTTCAGCCGTCACCCTTCAGGGCGCCTATTTTCATGACACAATTCACTCATCCCACAAGAGCTTTCTTCCGTTTTCACTAGGCCTGGATCACTTTCAGTATTGGGTACGTCCTTTCATCCTTTCCTCTGCCCAGATGGTATTCTCAAAAGTACCAGCAGTGGTGGCAGCATATCTTCCTCATCAGGGAATAACTGTATTTCCATATCTCAAGTGGCTTCTGAAGGGTCAAACTTTAAACGAAGTTCTCCGTGAAACAAAGACACTAATGTCCCTCTTCCTCAGGCTGGATCTACACCTCAACTTCAGAAAATCCACTCTGAGCCCTGTGCAAAGGATAAAGGTCATAGGAACTTCTATAGAAATAGTATCAGCCAGAGCTTACCTTCCTATAGACAGATTCACGACATTAACAAACCTCATCTCAATGATACAGATCAGCTCACAGATATTAACAACAAATTGCCTTTTGCTACTCAGACACATGGCAGCGTGTACATTTGTAATGCAGCACACCAGGCTACATCGGTGAAGTTTGCAGGGCTGGCTTGGGACTATTTATACTCCAAACTAACACAGCCTGAACAAACTAGTGTTAGCCGTCTGGTAGGAGATTCTGTCAGTTGGCGGAAAGACCCTAAAAACCTTTGTACGGGTATCCCATTAGTCCAACCACCTCCTTCCATTACTATAAGGACAGATGCATCTTTGATGGGTTGAGGAGTGCACTGAGGGGACCCACACTACTCAGGGCAAATGGTCTGCTCAGGAGACACGGTTGCATATCAACCTCCTGGAGCTGAGGGCAGTCAGGAATCCCTATATCCACTTTCTGCCGGTAATCAGCAGCAGATCTATAAAAATCATGACAGAGAACATCGCCTGTATGTTCTATATCCACGGGCAAGGATGGGCAAGATCCCCTTCTCTTTGTGCCGAAGCAGTAAAGCTGTGGAACTGGTACATAGCTAATGGCATCCGAAGTTCTGCAGCTCACCTTCCGGGCATACACAATACAATGGCTGATGATCTCAGCAGGCTGAGTACTACAAATGGGAGTTGGCTTCTTGGACACTGAGTGGAACATTTTGGATCTGGGGATTTCCCGATGTAGACCTCTTTGCCATCACTACCATCAGAAAGTCCAGACAGTTTTGCTCAAGAGAGGGGTTAGATCCTCACTCACTGGGCAATGCTTTCCTGGTTCTGTGGCCAAGGGATCTTCTGTATGCATTTCCTCCAATGCTACTCATTCCCAGGTTGATAAACAAAATCAAACAAGACAATACCAAAATCATTTTAACAGTTCCAACATGGTACCCTT